TCTCTCTCTCTCTCTCTCTCTCTCTCTCTCTCTCTCTCTCTTTTTCATTTTCTTACAAGATAAGAAATAACGATTCGCTTCTTTACTTAACACTACTCGAAAATAATTATACGTACAAGTTCAAGGTTTATCGTTGAACGAACGAACGAACTAACTAACTAACGAAGTTGTAATTTGATAAGAGAACGCACTAATTGATCGTTAATATCGTAATTAAAAGAAATAGATTCTATATCTATATAATGTTAACATATTATTGATTATATCGATTTGATAAACGTAATAGAGATAAATAAAACCTTGACGCTAATTAAATCGTATTATCGTTAAAAATTTATAAATAAGAAATTTGAAAAGAGAAATTAGGAAGAAATTCTATAGAAAATTTTCGAAAATGTTCGCATAACTTTAACGACAAAGGGGGTCTTGACCTTCTAAAGATATTACTATAGAAGATATGCGACAGACGACGATGGAGCTCGCGAGATAATTAAGGAACGCAAAGTTGGCACGAAGAGATGAAGAAGAGAAGAAGAAGGTGCATATACAACACAACATATGTGCACGGAATAGAATAACCTTACAAACGTTTTCAAACGGAGTAGTAGCTTTAGATTCAGCAGATGTGCACTAACATATATATATATATATATATATATATATATATATATATATATTACAATGCATGTGCATATATTATACATATATATGTACACATACACACATATACGCGAATATGCGACAGCATTCGTCAAGAGTAAAGAAAATGTTCTTCTCTTTTTCTTTTTTTAAACTAGATGCCCTTGTAAGGACTCACCCATTGACGGGGATACACGAACGAAAAAAAAAATAAAAAGGGAGGGGGATAAAAAGAAGAAGAATGTTTGAAAAGGATTTAAACAGGCAAAGAGAGGAGTAGCAGTTTCTCGAATCTCCGTTCTTCTTGTCCGTTCAACACAACAACAACAACAACAAAACACAACGCACAAAGGGATTTCTTACCTGTCCACGTAGCCGTTCAGGCAAATAACTGGGACCCCTGCTTTCGTTGCTGCAGGGGTTTCTTCTACAGGTTTCTCCGTAATGGTGGTAACACGAAAAAAACGATTGCCCTATATATTCGCCAAAATTTCTATCTCCTATCTATCTATCTATCTATCTCTCTCTCTCTCTCTACTACCCCTTCCCATCTAACCCAAACCTTCTTCTTTATCTTCTCTCTTCTTTATTTTTTATTTTCTTTCTAAAATATATCTCCCGAGAGAGTCTCTCTCTCTCTCTCTCTACCTGAGTCGTCGTCGTTGTCGTCTCTTCGAGAAGAGAGGGTTTAAAAAATAAAAAAATAAAAAAGAATGAGAAGGATGCAAAGAAGAGACGATGGTAAAAAGAAAAGATGTGCTGCGTCTTGTTTACGATCTATATATATATATATATATATATATACACAAACACACACATGTTA